TAGACTGTAGGGGACTAACTGTGGATGTGGGAGGCCATCTGGGAGGCTACTGCAGTTGCTATGGGAGCGCAGAGAAGGAGGTGACCTGTGGAACCAGGATGTATTTTAAAGGCAGAGCTGGCGGGGGCTTTGCTTATGTGGGCTGAGTGTCGCATGGAGAAGAAAAGAGGAGGCAATGATGACACCACAGGTTTTGGCCAGAGCCAGTGTGGTGCTATTATGGGAGAAATGGGTTTTGGAGTTGGGAGAAATTACAAATTCTCTTTGTAATTGACATACTGAGATTGAGACTCCTGTTAGTGATATTGTGTAAGCATCTGTACAGCGTCACACTGGAGTTTAGGAACGTGGTCAGGGGCCGTTATATACGTCTGGGAGTCATCGGCCTATGCATGCTGTGGGCATAGAGCAGGAAAGAGCTAGATAGCAAAGCCAGGCATGGGCATGTTACCTAGAAAGTGATTATAGATAGAGAATGGGTTTGAGCACTAAGGTAATTCAACGATAAAGTTGGAAAGAAGAGGATGGTGTCCAAGAAGAGTAGGAAGTGAGGAGAAAATCTACATGAGGGCTTGCATGGGGTCAAAAGAAGATTGCTTATTTAAGATAAGGAGGTCACCCAGGCATGGTGGCTCACACCTGTAATCCTAGCACTCCGGGAGGCTGAGGCTGGTGGATTACTTGAGCTCAGGAGTTCAGGATCAGCCTGAGCAAGAGTGAGACCCCATTTCTACTAAAAATAGAAAAATTAGCTGGATGTTGTGGCAGGTGCCTATAGTCTCAGCTATTTGGGAGATGGAGGTGGGAAGATCACTAAAGCCCAAGAGTTTGAGGTTGCTGTGAGCTATGGTGTCACAGCACTCCAGCCTGGGGCAACAGTGAGACTCAGTCTCAAGAAAACAAATAAATAGAGTAAAAATAAATAAGTAAATTCTTGTAAGGATTAGATTTAAAAAAAAAAAAGGAGGAATTCAGCAGAGTAAATAAATAGCCTACAGCACGGGAGAAAATATTTGCAAACTATACGTCCGATAAGGGGCTAATATTGAAAATCTACAAAGAACTCAAATGAATCAGCAATCCAATCCCCTTCAAAAGTGGGCAACAGACATGAACAGAAGTTGTTCAAAAGGAGGGAGACAAATGGCCAACAGACATGCTCAACGTCAATCATCAGGGAAATGCAAACTAAAACTGCAGTGAGACCCCCCTTTCCCTGTCAGAATGGCCACTTTTAAGAAGTCAGAAAACAATCCATGCTTTGGTGTGGATGCAGAGAGAAAGATTGCTAATACACTATGGATGGGATTGCAAATTAGTACAACCTCTATGTTTATAGTATGGAGATTTCACAAAGAAAGAAATGCAGACTTATCATTCGATCCAGCAATCCCACTACTGGGTCTACTCAAAGGAAAAGAAGTCATTCTGTGAAAGACACCTGCTCTCAAATGTTCATCACCTCACAATTGCACAGATGTGGAATCACTTTAAATGCCCGTCATGATAAAGAAGATGTTATATTACATCCCAAGGAGCACTACTCGGGTATGAAAAGGGATGGAATCATGTTTATGGCAACTTGGATGAAACTGGAGACCACTAGCCTAAGCGAAGTATCTCAGAAGTGGAAAAACAAACTCCACACACGTTCACAAGTAACGGGGTGGTAAACGATGGGCACACAGACACAAAGAGATGTAAAGATCACTGGAAACCAAGCAGGGGGCAGGGATAAAAACTCCTCTGGGGAGGAGGGAGCGAGGGCTAAAAACTATCTGCTGGGTACAAAGATCACTCTGCTGGTGGCAGGCATGCTGAAAGCTCCAACTGAAGCCTTCTATCAGGTATCCATGTAACAAAAACATTTGTACTCCCTTAAAATTTTGAAATTGAAATTTTTTTTAATTTTTCAAAAGGGAAATTATGTACTCTGATAGGAATTATCAAATAGGGAGGAGCTTGTAGCAATGGAAAGTGATAATTTCAGGGTCAAAGTCAGTAAGTCGTTGGGAAGGCATGAACATGGAATGTTGTTTTACATTGTAAGTTTGCATTATAGGCATCTTCTTTTCTGTTTCTACTTTCATGGTTAATGCTTCTACCACATCAGTCAGGGGATGTTTGACTGCAAGTTACAGAAACCCTGACTTGGCTTGCTTGAGCAGTTAGGTGGATTATGTCCAGTGAAGGGCTTTGGGCAAGGCTTGGTCTCCCAGCTTGATGACTTCACCAAAGACTTAGCTTCTGTCCATCGCTCTGCACTGCTCTCTAATATGGCGGCTCCCTTTAAAGCGGGCTCCCTTTGTGGTTTCAAGATGACTGCCAGACGCTCTTGGGACTATACAAGGTGGCCATTAAGTTCATGTGCATTTAAAATAGTGTGCAATTTAAAATTGCTACGAACTTAATGGCCACCCTGTATGTCTCTTCATTACATTCATTGAGAAAGATAGCATTCCTCAGCAAAAGACCCTGAGATTCACTCTTCTTATACTTGGTTAGGCCAGGTGCCTGCCCTTCAACCAGTCTCTGCAGCCAAGAGCAAGGAATGTGCCAGATGGGACGACAGAATGCCCTGGACCCCAACTGAAAAGCAAGGACTGCAGGAAAGGAGAACCCACACCCTCTACAAGTATCCAAATGAAAGTCATACTATGTTATAACAGCAATAAACCCTCTCAGGTAACTGTTGGAGGAAAATGACGCATGTTGAGCACCCATGTCCTAGAATGGGTAAAAAGAGCATTTGGGAATGAGTTTACTTACTATTTGATGGGTAAGAGATAATTATTTCTTTAAGAGGCAGGTGAATATAGACCATCAGCTGTAACTAAACTATAATGTCTTTAGATTTCGTGAATTTTCATTTCTCCTATGTAAGCCAAGTTGAGTTGACAATTTTAGATGGTAAAAACATATCTTCAAACCATGAAAATTTGGTTTACTAACAGTTTTATGGGGAAAGGAATGCAGTCTAATTTGGCCTACTGGAGGGCAGTAGTTTCTGGACACCAGCCAGCAATTTACAGCGTGCTTTCAGGGTGACAGTGCTGACTTCAGCAGCGGCTGCGAAGCCTCCATGATAACAAGGGGCATCACTAACATTTGCAGGGTTGAAGCTTTCTGATCATTGCGGTTCAACTTTGTTCCAGTCTATAGTGAATCCCTTCCCGTGAACAGCCGGGGAACTCATTAGTACCCAGACCTGCTTTCAGTCTGCCAGTATTTTCTTTAGTGGGGTAATTCAAATTCCTTAGATTATGAGTCCATGGAATTACATAATGCTATAATTACTCCTGGCAAGAAGTATCTGGACAGGCACCCTCTCCTGTAGCCCGTTCCTCCCCCTCTTGTAGTTCACTGAGATACATGTGAGCCCCATGTGAGCAGGGATTCAAGATAAGAGTAAAGCACACTTCCTTGAGGACACACCCCCATGCCAACCTCTCTTGTTTTCTCTGCTCTGATACAACAAAACCCTACACCAGAGCAAGATCCAGCCTCCCCAGTACCGACAGACTACCAGACACCAATCAAAAAACCACTGGTCTGCTTTCCGCAATTTCTCCAAAATGGCAGCCTCATTGAGGGAGACATCAAGGTTTGTCTCACTCATCCGTCCTTAGGATGTTATAGCCAACATTTCCTGTTTGGAGTCTTACTGACACTGCTTAGAGTTCTTTGTGCAAAGGAACGGAATGGATTTAAATCCATTAAGAGCTGGAGAGTGAACTGAGTCTTTGCTCATTTGACCACTAGCTCAGCGTCTCTGTGGGACCACATCTGGGGAGGTGGTGCCATCTGTATGTTTTCCCCAGGTGGCCACAGATCAGCATTCTGTGGTAGGAAGCAAAAACAGTTTTGTGACTCCATTGAGTGCCAAAAACCTCATTTCCTTTTTTCTTTTTCTTTTGTTAGAGATAGGGTCTCCTCTGTTGTCCAGGCTGGACAATAGTGAGATTTTAACCTCACTTCTAACCTCAACCTTAGGCTCAGCTCAAGCAATCAACCTGTCTCAGCCTCCCATAGTGCTGGGACTACAGGTGTGAGGCACCATGCCCAGCCCAAGAATCTCATTTCATCTCCAGTTGGAAGTTTCTTTTCATGCTGTTGACAGGGAAGACTGTTCTGCTGCATTTGAATGGGAGTAATAAAGTCAACTCAGCTATGACTGGCTGAGTCAAGCAAGCACTGTCACCCTAAGTGAGCTATTAAGCTACAAGCTAGGTGCAGTCTTGTCTGTGGAGAACGCCCAGTCTCCTTTGCTTTTAAATAACTCTAGAGACCTCATTCAACTTATATCTCTCCCTATCTTATATTGTCTTTTTATCCAATTTTCTTTCAATACAATAACCCAAATAGTTGTTTCTTTTTTCACCTCCAATCTTCATCCACAACTCAGACTGATGCCCGTGGGAAGAAATCTCTCCAAGTCGGGAACTGTATTATTTTTTTCCTCCTGTGAGATCATATCCCTCCCACTGCCATGTGACTCCCAGTAGGCAGGGTGTTGTCAGGTTTGCTCACGTGGCTGGGGCAGTGGCATGTGAACCGAAGTGACAAAAAGCCAGTGTGGAGCACAAGTTTCAAGAGGCAGCTTAAAAGCTGGAAGCCGTATTGCCAGTTTCTACCAGTTTTTGGCTTTTTCCTTTGCCCTAAACCAAATATAAATTTCTCTGTGGATTTGGGGCTAAGAATGATAAGATATTGAGAAGACTTGTAGCCAACCTTTAGTCACCAAAATGTAATATAAATGAAAAATAAAGAAATATTTTTATGGACCACTGAGATTCTTTGGATCATTTGTTACTGCAGCAGATCTGACTAATACAAACACCAAATCATAATAAAATCAAACACCAATAAGAAAAGCAAGATATAAGAAATAGAACAGCAACAATTCCCAGTCACCTTTATTCATATAAAAGTATATTAAATAAATATCGCAATATATACAAATAGAACAATATTATCTATATAAATAGAAAATCCCCATATACATAACCTTTTAAAAACTATATAAATATATATAATGCTGACCATAGAAGCTTTAAGTACCTTAAATCATAAACTCTGTGTAGTTTGTTAGCATAGTAGTCCTATAAAAATATAGTTAGATCTCGAATGTTTAATCATCACCGCTTAAAGTCAGTTAAAGTGCTAAATTCTAATATACATTAGAACGGTACCCAAAATAGAAGTCTCCTGTATTTAATATATTAAGTTTGCCAATGGTTTTGAACTCTCAAATGTACCCCTAAAAAAAAAAAAAAACCCTAAACCCCATATTATCGACATATGTTAGAAAGTCCTAGCAAAGTCCACTCAATTTCCATTTTACTTTCCCACACAGTTTGAAGTCAGCCTCTTGAAAACTCTTCAAAAGTCCCCCCAGGACTTTCTAAGGCATTTGTTCATTTGCTTTTGCTTGGGTGACCTGGTTTCTCCTTGAGTGCAGACTATATAATCTAAAGCAGGATAATGTGCAAAGGTGCCATAGTGTTAAAAACGAAAACAAGGTGGACTTGCTTGTACCGTTCATTCCATTTCAAAGTGACGAATGCTGATGTCAAGACAAGAATGCTTATTGTAAAAAGAGATTGATCAACCGTGCTTTTGAACCCAGCAGTCTCCATGCTCGAAACTACTCGATTGCTCATTTGTGTTTCCACATGTTCTCTTTAGCGTTCTTGGTCACAGTGCAATTCAGCACTTGCAGGAGTTGGCAGCTCCAACGGTGCTTCCTTTATGCAACATTCAGCGGGGAGGTCTCCTTCCCACTTCTCCCTGTTCTTGCCTTTTTGCACTTGTGTATAGACAGAACCAGGATGATGATAAGGATGATGACCACGAACACCACCGCTCCAATGATGAAGAACATTTCTGAAAGATAAAAGGCACCAAGTCAACTTGGCAAGCTCAAATCCCATTCCCCAGGGGGCAGCATGGAGGGCAGAACCCCAAATTTCACCATCCTGCTTTTGCACAATTTGAAATTGCTTTCTTCCACTCTTTCCACCACATTTAGATTAGGAAAGATTTGTCAAGCCCTTGAAGTTTTAGGGCAATTGACAATGGCTGAAAGCATTTAACAGGCATTTAATAAACTGAATAATGTTCACAGAAAAAAATCACATAGTTGAAAGTAAGAACAGGTATTGGAAACAGGTGGCTAAAAAGGCAGTGCTGAGTTTGGTAGCAATCACTACAGTAAAGATGAACTGTATGTAGTTGCAAAGAGGGCCATCCCGAGTGCTACCAGAATGCAGGTGAAGAAGACACGATGACAGGTTGGTACAGTAAGAAGGCTTCATGGTGGAGGTGGCCTTTGAAATGCCTCTCTAAGGGCACATTTCAGCAGATGGAGAAGGGTCAGAAACAGATGTGGGTGTGCACAAAGGCAGAGTTAGAGCTGGGCTTTGGGACAACACACCTGTGGGCTGTGGGTAGCATGGGCCAGAGGAATGTAGGACCAGAAAAAGAACCCTCTCCTGTCAGCGGCAATAAAGAGGAGGGGATGGTTTATTTAAAAGAGTTTTAAAAAGCTAGGTGCAGTGGCTCACACCTGTAATCCTAGTACTCTGAAAGGTCAAGGCAGGAGGATTGCTTGGGAGTTTGAGACCAGCCTGAGCCAGAGCGAAACCCTGTCTCTACCCAAAATAGAAAAACCAACAACAACAAAAAACAATCGTGGTGGTCCATGCCTGTAGTACCAGCTAGTTAGGAGGCTGAGGCAGGAGAATTGCTTGAGCCCAGGAGTTTGAGGTTGCAGTGAGCTATGATGATGATGCCACTGCACTCTATCCCAGGTGACACAGCAAGACCCTGTCTACCCCCTAAAACAAAAAAAAGGTGTTCTAAAATCTCATCTCAGCAAGAAGCTAAATCTCATCTTAGCAAGGAGCTAGGTCATCATTACTATCCTCAGACTCTTTTTTTCCCCAGAAGTACTCAGAGCACTTTATAAAGCCTGCAGGGAGACTCAAAGGCTTTCAGCCTCATGCTCACGTCCAAACGCCCACAGGACTTCAGCTTAGGAATCATTCCTTACCCCAATGTGTACACAAGGGTGTACATACACGTCAGCCATAGGCACACGCATGCATGTTGGTATATTTGATATACTCGATCCTTTCCTTGGATGGGTTACGGCCCAGTCACGAACGTCTATCAAGGGCTATTGCAGTTGGTCCAGGACCACCCTCCCCCACCAGTATGGATCTGAATTTAAGAATGAAAAATGCCCAGAGAAATCTGTGACTTGATGTTAGATCCTAAACATGGTTTGTGTAGCCAGCACTCAACAGAGAGTTTGGCACATGGTCATATGAGGGAACAATATTTAGAAATATTTCTAGATGCTTAAAATCTTAAGAATACCAAAAAGAAAATTAAAAAAACCCAAGGCAGTTTCTCCCTGAATAGTTAACAAAACAAGTCTGTCCCGGCTGGTCCCCTGGAAGGCACCCAGGCCTCCCAGACAAACGACCGGCCGAGCCACTCACCTCTGGAGTCACCTTTCCCTTGGCTGGTGCACTCAATGGGGCTCTCTGGACTCTTCTGGTTAGCTCTTCGGGATGGAATCACTGCCTGGACATTGAAACAGTAGCTCTCTCCTTTATCCACATCAACCAAAAACTCATTAGTGTTTGTCTTGGCTGTTTTCTGTGAAAAGATAAAGAGTTCATAATTCATCTGGGCTCAGAGTGAATTCTTTCCCTTTTAGTCAGTCACTGTGGCAGTGCAAACTCAGGCGGGTGAGGATGAGAAGTGACTTGGCTGATCAGTTCTCCTGATCACTGCTAAAAATGCCTTTTCCAAGATTGTAAATATCCCCGTAAGGTATATCCAACCCAATTCATCCCCTTCAGAAGGTGTCTGCAGTGATGAACAAGGAAGTATTAATCACTGAATAGAAAACAAATTTTGGAGGGTGGCGCCTGTGGCTCAGTGAGTAGGGCGCCAGCCCCATATACTGAGGGTGGTGGGTTCGAACCCAGCCCCAGCAAACTGCAAACAAAAAAATAGCTGGGTGTTGTGGTGGGCACCTATAGTCCCAGCTACTTGGGAGGCTGAGGCAAGAGAATTGCCTAAGCTGGAGGTTGCTGTGAGCTGTGATGCCACAGAACTCTACTGAGGGTGACAAAATGAGACTCTGTCTCTAAAAAAAAAAAGAAAACAAATTTTGTGTCTGAGCTCCTCTACAGAGGGACAATGTGAGAGCTGATGGGAGATGATGTGGCCTAGCCCTTTGACTAAGGACCCTGGGCCTAGGACAGGGTCCTGTCAAAGTCATAAAGCAGCTCAGGGTCACAGGTGGAACCAGGACCTGCTGTCCACCCCGCTGCCCCCAAGCAGGCTACCCTCCCACTCCACCACACCACCCTCTCCACAAGCCTCGTTCTGCTAGTTTTGAACTGGGGAAGAAGTGGGCTGTAAAAGCAGGCAACCATCATCATTTAAAACGAGTCCCGAGAACAGGAAAGAATTCTCACCTTTCCTGTACTTGCCGCTTTCCAATAGTAAAGTGTGTAATTCAAGTCCTTGCCGAAAACATCCCGGAGGCTCAGGAAGGTGCCGTTCCTTCTGACTAAGGTCCGTGCGTCCTGCACTGTCACCTTCAGTTTTGTCCCTACTTGTTCATAACTCTGAATTGCTGGCTGTCCGATGTTTGCTGAAACACAGGAAATAACCTTGGTGGAACCAAAGAAATCTGCACGAAGTAAAACCCTACCTAATTATCACAGTTAACAACGTGTCTCTCATAAAACACCTGCATTGCATCAAATCCCTAACAGCAGTAGGCTGGGTGGCGCCAGAGCTAAATCTCAGACCATAAAGGTCCTTTGGCATCCTGTCTCATATCCAGTGGAAATACGGTAGGAGACACAGACCTAATTTTAAAGTTCCTTGTGGTCACATTAGAAAAAGCAAAAAAGAACAGATGAAATTAATTTTGATAATGTACTTATTTAACTCAGAACAGTTGAGCCTTGAACACCAGGGATTTAAGCTGCACAGGTCCACTTAGACACAAACATTTTTCAATAAAATTTACACCAAATGTGCCTGCCTCTCTTGCCACCCGGTGACAGCAAGATTAACCCTTCCTTTCCCCTCCTCTTCCTCAGCCCACTCAGCATGAAAATGATGAGGACCTTTAGGGCGACCCACTTCCTCTTAATGAATAGTAAATATATCGAATAGAAAACAAATTTTGTGTCTGAGATCCTCTACGGAGGGAGGATCTGTTTCCTCTTGCTTACGATTTTCTTTTTATTTATTTATTTAGACAAAGGTATTTTTTAAATATGGAGAATGTGCTTACATGTAATTTTGTTCAGTGGCTTGAGGGAACGTGTGGGTGGTTCACAGTCAGAGATTAGTGACAATCCCCAAACACTATAATGGGTAGAACAGCCAAGAAGAATGACTTTTTTCTTATTGTTGGGGAATTGTTGAGGGTACAAAGAACCAGGTTACACTGCTTGCATTTGTAAGGTCAAGTCCCTCTTATAATTATATACTTAAGATTTTCTTTTCTTTAGCCTACTTTGTTGTAAAAATACGCTATATGACATATATATACACACATTATGTACATATAACATATGAAGTATCTGTTAATTGACTACTACCAGTAAGTTTCAACAGTAGGCTATGAGTAGTCAAATTTGGGGGGGATTCAAAAGTTATACTTCAGGAGGTTGGCACCCCAAATCCCAGCATTGTTCAAGGGTCAGCTGTATATATCTGGAATATTATCACTTGAACATGTAATCAATATTTTTTAAGACCTACTAAGTATTTCAGCATTAGCACCGTGTTACTGCTCAGTAGCCACCTGTGGTAGTGGCCACTGTCCTGAGCAGAGCAGGAGTATAAGGGTGCTCATTCTAGTATAGTAAATTTAGGGCTGTGGGCAAGTCCAGGAAATGACCTTGGGACCACAAGGAATTGGTTTTAACCACTGGGTCTCTGTAATATTAGGCTCATTATTTTGTGTGCTTTCGTTGAATGACAGTAAAACAAACACCAACTCTGTAAGTCACAGGGCACACGTGTGTGTGTACAAGTAACATAAATACACAAAATCTGTTCTACCTTGCACCAACAATAGATGTGAGTGGCTTATAAAAAACTCAAGAAAGAAAATCAGAAGGATGTCATCAACTGGGAGAAGAACGAACACCAGTGATCCTGCAAAGTCACTGGAGGTGACAGTCAATGCATCCATCCTCTAGGCCTGTGCCTGGAGTCACATAGGTAGGTGCACTGGAGGGGTGTGCCTGTGGGAAGGCAGGGGTTCACCTGGAGAGAGCCCGTGTCAGCCCTCAAAGCGGGTACTGGAAGAGTATGGATGGTTACTTGTCCACAGGCCCCTCTTCACCCCCCAACCTCAAGAAACTGCTCTCTCTCTCTGGGTTGTCAGAGGGGTAAATATAGAAACTCCAGTAGCACAACACTCATTCTAGCCAGCACGCCTTACAAGAGGAGCTAAATTTCACTCTTCCCACTGTGCTGCATGTTTTTATGTAAAATACCTAGCTCAGAACTGCCATTGTGACAAATGAGTTTAAATCTCCTACTGGAGGCAAATTCTCTGCATTCCCTCATCAGATCCCAGGGTGGCCTTACTGGGGCAAAGGCCCAGGAGGAAAGTCTTCCACGTTTCCAAGATCCACAGGAGGGAGGCAGGCCGAGGGCTGGGCAGGTGCTGATCCATCATGAGACTCAAATCTCAGTCAAGTGACTGGAAAATAGCAGTGAGCCTAAGGATGAGCTCAGAGGGAAACCGGGCTTTCCCCAGAGATCTGTGACTGCGAAAAATCCTAAAGTGTAGCTGAGTGCCGTAGCTTAGGGGTTAGATCTCTGCCCTTGCCAACCAGGCACTGTGAGTTTGACCCTTGCCTGGGCCTGATTTTAAAAAAAAAAAAAATCCTAAAGTAGGATTTTTGGTCTGATGATCGGACAAAATTTAGCATCTATTATAGACTAGGGCTGTCTGGAAAGTATCCAGCGGTGTACACCTCTAGTTCTCACAGTGCATGGCTGGATACTTTCTGGACAGCCTTTGTACTTACAAGGAAAGGCTAAATTCCCAGCCTTGATGGAATTCCTATCCCTACACATTCAGCCGGTTACTGGTGGCATCTGTGACAGACTGTGGGGAAAGTTACCTGACCACACTGTTATCAACTCTACAGTTTAGATGCGATGACCCTCCTCCCACATCTAGACTGTGTGACGAGGGCCGTGATACTCGCCAGTGTCTGAGAAAAAAGACACGTTCATGGATAAACACTTTTTTATCTACTGACCTCTAAGGATCACAAGGTCACAAGAATCTTCATAAGTTTATTGCTACAGGTAGGAAAGGTATGACAGGGCAAGCTACTTACTCTCCAGATAAGGTGTGAAGTCTGGGGCGTTTCGAAATGGAGCTTCCCCAGTAGGACCCACGGCATCTACATCCCCTGCGGGATAGGAAAAGACCCGCGCCAAGTATGTCTGCTTCACGTCCTGCGCAATCTCATCCGTCAGGTCACATTCTGTGTCTGTTGTGTGGAAGCATTTGTTTTTCCAATCTCCTAATTTAGTGCTAAAGAAAGGGGGAAAAAAGGAGAAAAAGAAATGGAACATTACGATTGGCCCCCAACAGGAAAGATGAGTGTCTGACCGTGGTCTGTGCTGACAACCGGTCCTGCCAAGAGCACTTAAGATGAATTTTGAGTCCTCACAGCCCCTGCAGGTGGGGCCTCTGTCCTGAGCCCTGTTTTACAAAGTGTCCCACTTTGCCTTGGGACAAAGCGAGATGGAAACTAGCTCAAAATCACACATGTGGACTTGGAGCCAGACAGCAGTTTGACTGACGGGTCTGCGCTCTGAACCACGTTGTTAAATATCATTCTTACAATATAGGTGCTCTGTCACGGTTACGTGAGGGAAAGAACAACTTTCCGTCAAGATCCAACTGTTCATTATGGTCTACTTATTATATCATAGTACCCTCTGTTTATTATATCACATTCTATATTCTAGGTAGACTATATAGTAACAAAGTCTGCATAATAACAGATCATATATCCATATCATGGTCGATGGTGACCATCATTAGCGTGGTTATAGTAATCATTTCTTGACTCTACTCTATGCCAGGTACTGCACTGGACCTTTACACACGTCCTCTCATTGATAGAAGCATTCTAAGAAGGGACTGTATTTTTTTTTTTTTTTACACATGAGGACAGTAAAGCTCAGAAATACTAACTAACTTGAGCAAGGTCAGGTGGTAATGCACTTCTATTAAAAACAAAATTCCTCTAAGGAACCAAAACAATTTGTAGGTCAGCAGTCACTGCAACTGGACCATGGACTTCTATTCCCTGAAAAGCAATGGTTATGCTGCTCTTCCCTTCCCCATCACTGACCGCCCCAGCACAATCCCACCTGCTTTAGGAATCTCTGGCTCTCCTCACTGCGTGCTTGTCTTTCCCTTCCCTGTCCTCTGCCACAAGTACCCCCCTAACACACTTAATTCAGTCTGCTTGGTATCGGGGTCCACACTCTGTGCTCCCCACCAAGCGGCAGGGCTCTAGGGCCTTGCTGAATATGAGTTTGCATTTACAGGTTGAGTTAACACATCATCAGGGGTAAACAAGTCACCAGAGGAGTTCAAGTCTCTAAATCCATACATAAGAGCCAATAATATGTATTATTTATAATTTTGAACTAAATAAGAAGGCTGATTTAAGTAAGCACATTATCATCCTAACATGCACAAACTAAGATGGATATTGAAATATATTGGCTTCTTGTATTTTAGTTTTTAATTCCAATAAAAGTAGAGAGGCTGTTTTGGCCCCAAATGACCAAAATACATCACATCGTTTTTATGTCAAAAAGCAAATGAGAACACGATGATTCCTTTTCATCACTGTGGCAAACAGCGTTCAGATACCAGGAGGACTCCGTGGGCCTCTGCAGCTGCATACCATCTGAGAGATACGGGATTTGGTTCCTCCCATCTCACAAGCGGGGTAATGTACTCCGTGGCAAAATTTAGCACAGGGGTCTATACAGTATCACTGTAAGTAATAAATCGTGCAAACAGGTAATGAAGGGGCAATTCTGTAGTAAAATCTTCAGAAGGCCAGCAGCAGCACAAACACTTTAAAAGCCTTTGAGATTCTTCTAGGCATTGCAAAGCCCTCTGACTTGGAAATAATTAAAGTCCCCTCGAGTTACTAAAAAATTCCAACAGAATACAGATTGTCATTTATTTAGTTGTAAGTTGTATTCTAGAAGCTTTGTAGATTCAGCTTTAGAATTCAGAACATTCCCATGGAATCAGGATTACAGATGGTGTTTCTTAACCACCACCAAAACATTTTTGCAAAGGGAAAAAAATGCAGCCAGAGCTTCAGGTGCGGGCTTCAGCTCGACAATGATGCCCCTGTGGCTACAGCCAGAGTTCAGCAGTGAGGGCAGTCACATCAGAGGCTCCCTCTAGGGAAGGAAAACCAGCAGGGAAGGAGGCCCACGGTGGAGATGCAGTGGGCAAGGTTTTCCTTCCTTCTCCTAGCTTGGGGCCTCCCATTAGATCAAGGCACCTGAGGAGGTGCTGGTGTGGGGTACCCTGGGGATCTCAGTTTCAGATCTGGCACGGGCACTCAATATCAGCCAGCGCAGTCATGAATAAATCCCTTACTTCCCAGGGCAAGTTTCCTAGTCTTAAAAAGACTGGGCTAGTTCTTTTAATCCTATTTACCCCTGGGGCAGGCAAGAGAAGAATGCAAGGCTGATGGACCTGCTCCAGGACTAGGGCAGAGCAGCAGGAATGTGGGAAGACCACCCTGTCCGCATCTAAAGGCACCTCTAAGCTGTAGCCCAGTGAGTCTGGGGCCTGTGTTCTTATTAAATAATGGCAGCCTTACAAAGTCCAAGAATTCAATGTTAACAGTGGCTTATGTTTAAAAATCAGATAAATCATAACTATAGTCCCACATATACTTAGGAGGTAAGCATTCCGCACCAGATCTGATTTTTATTATCTAGGAGGACAGTGTTTACTAAGGTAAATTCAGGTCTGTATCAGGGAAATTACTTACTAATTCTCAGTCAATGGCACCTGAATTGATAAGTATGACCATAATCGTAGTCATTGTCTCAGGTTATGAATTTCTCTCTCTCCATATTATATATATACTGATGCATGCACTTGAGCACACAGATTTCCCCCCCTGTTGGTTTGGCAAGCGTCATCATGAAGTTCATTTTGAAAACAAGAACATCCATCTAAAGCCTAGAACGTTTCCGAAACCAAAAATTTGCCCAGAATATGGTGAAAGTCATCAAGGAAGACATGATCTTTAGATTGTATGTGCTGGTTCTTGGGTCCTAGCAAGAGCTGTCGATCGGAGGTAGACCCCAGTGAGCACAGCAGGCCCAGACAGCAGAGGGTGCAGACTGCCAGGTATATCTCCACAGCTCAGTGACTCACAAATTTGGCCTCCCCCACGGGGATCATGTGTGCTACCAAATTTTGATTCAGAGTCCAAAGATTAATGAATCAAACACTGCTTAAGGGCAAGGTATACATCGGAATTCCTCCCCACCTTTTCCCTAACTTGTTAGACACGGCTCAGAGTCTAGACGGGAAAGGAAGAAGACATTTATACTCAGACGAGATTAATCTGCCGCTGATCCAGTAACACGCTTCAGGGCCTACTTAAGAAGGTTCACCTCTCCACCGCTTACACTAAGCTTATGAATTTGCCCATTATTTCCAAAAACAGTTAAAACATTCTATCAGCTTAAGGTCCAGAAATGTTGTAGGCTTGATAAAGTATAACCCTGGCCAGTATATTACCACAAAAGCCCTCTTCTTTGTCTTCTGATAAAGGGTCTCATGGAAAAATCTGATTTTAAGACATTTGTTTTCAGCATAGGAGAGCAGAAACATCAAAAACCTTAATTTTCTTTGTCTGTACCCAGCTTACCTTATCTGAACAGTGTAGACATGATTGATGGGCTTGGGTTCCCACTCCAAAATTGTCTTGAAATTAGTTGATTTCCAAGTTAAATTATATGCTACCACTGTCTCTGTAGTGCCTTGAAACAACAGAGAAACATCTATTATTACATGCACTTCTCAGCATATGATTTTGAGTTGGTATAAAAACCTCCCCACCCTCCCTTCGCCATAAACTTCAGATTTGTTTTTAACCACAAAACCTTCATTACTCAATTATTGAGAGAAAAAATTTCTAATTTTTTTCTAGAACCAAATTTCCTCATGGCAAGATCCACCTTATCATAATCCATAGAAACCGGCAAGGATATATTGAAATCCACCTTTGAAAGTATTTATGGGGAATGCCCTGTCTTAACTTGACCAAGAAACACAGCCCAGAGCCACCAAGGTGTCAAGGTGTTCAGGCCACCTCGGCAAGTCCGAGACTCGGGTTCAACCCACTAGCAAGGCCAAGTAGGAAGGGTTTTCAATCAACTATGGAAGGTAGGATTTCATACAAATGAGCCAAATCCGACTTTTCCCATTTTTATCTGAAATGCCGCTACACTGAAACTTCCACAGAGGCCAAGCAGGATGTGCGGCCAGTCACGCCGTCTGAAGCACGCCATCAGCACGCTTTGTCGTCAAGGTGTGTTTGTCAACAGGTGGCAGGCCCCAGTCTCTGCCCAGGCCCAAACACTGAACGCCAAGCACCAAAGCACAGCGCGTACCTGCTCCTACCCAAGCAAGGATTCCCTGCGCCCAAAGCTAAAACAAAGACCTGCCGGAGGCCGCTCTTTATCAAAGGAGGTGCACATATAATGAAAGATGGTACCGAAACCTTCGCACGCTGACCTATGCAGATGCGGGCCCACGTCCCATCACCTTCAAGGGCGCAACTCACTGGGAAATTCCTTCCTCCAAGTTAAAGCAGGAGCCAAAAATCCGTTTATGCAACAACAATGGACGCCCCGAGCAAACATCTCTAGCAGAAGGGGCAGCCGGGTCTGGGCCCAGCTACTCTGTGCAAGTCCTGCCGGCGCGCCTCGGGACCGAGTTCATTCAGACGCAGCTGGGTGAGCGCAGTCGAGCCCCGCAGACTCTGGAGACACCACGCGAGCGCTCAGGGGGACTCAAGGCGAGCCCACCACCAACAAGGACTGTCCCCTCCCGCCTGCAGGCAGCGCGCCCCGGACTTCTAGGGGCGGTGCTACTCACCTAAAGCGCTGACCACCTGTAAGAGGACCCAGCCGAGCAGGAACGTCCGAGCACCGACGGTCTGGGGGTGCGGGACCCGGGGCCAGGCTGGGATCTCCATGTCCAAGAGCTGGCGGCGAGGTCGGGTGGCTTCCCCTGTACCCTGGAGGCTAGGGAAATAGGACAGCAGGGACCTTGGGTCGGCCGGAGAGAGGGATGGGGCGCTGGGAGCGCGTTGTCTGGGGAGCCCTTGCCCGGCGCGCTATAAAGGCCCGCGGCCGCCCGCGCCCGGGTCGGCCCCCGGTTCCCGCCCCCGCCGGCCGCTCCGCCCGACTCCCCGCCCCTGGCCCGGGTCACTCGGCGTCGCGGTGGGCGGCCCCGGCGATTCCACACCCCTGCCCCGCCTCCTCCGGTAGGAAACTCCGGGACCCTGCAAGGGGTGACTCACCCGTGATTCAACCACGCCGCGGGGCGCCGAGCTGCCCGCGGGCCGCAGGCAGGCCAGGTGCTGCGGAGCCCAGGTGTTCCCCGGCCACCGAAATCGGCGACCCAGACGTTCGGCCTAGGTGGTCGGCAGATCTATAGAGAAGACAGAGGTGCGCAGGAATGAGTTCTCGAGTTGGAGGAAAGGGATTCTTCCCTTCCACTTGCTAATGAAGCCCTGTCCGGCAGGTGGGAGCGGCAGCATTTACATTTAGTAGAAAGTTGTCTCCGGGCCCCCCTCGGGCAGCGAAGGACATTTCCGAGAGCTTTGTCCACCTGAGGCTGAGGCTCAGGTTATGATCTGCAGCTAAGTAACGGTGCGGGGTGCGGGGGTGGGGACCCTCTCCCAGCCACGGCCCCCTCCTCTAGACTGCGGGGCAGGATACCCGCCTGTCCACCTCCCAGGCCCCTAGCGCGCTCGCATTGTATAAAGCTGGTGCAAACGCAGGTCGGCCACGGATCTGAAGGGCCCACAAGTCTGAAGGTCTGTTGGCCCAGGCACCGCCCGGGGGCGACTGAGGGTAGTGACAGGAGGAGCAGCCTCACATCTGGCAGTTTGCCTCTGGGAGAATTCCAGCGTGACATCTGCAGCCCTGTGGTTTCCGAAAGGATGGTTCTCACAATGAAGAAGACATCTGTGGGATTGAGTATGCTCCACCCAAAATGTCGAGAAACCAAAAATGAAATGAAGAATGTAATCAGACTTCCTTTTGCCACTGGTTTTAAGCTTTGGCTTTTCTGACTTCTCCTTCTGGGCTTTGCTGTCGAGTTGTCAGGCATGAGATGTTAGCTCTTATCCTGCTGGGCGCCATCGTGCTGGGCCTCATCAAAGTACCTCCCCGTCATGGTTTATTCTTACTCTCTGGTTGCCCGCCAGACACACTGGAGAAGAGGAAGAACAACTGTTCCTAAGCGGGAAGGAGTTTGTTTTCTCTCTCCCACTTTCTACGAGGAAAATCAGCCTTGCATTTTAGTCTTTAGACACCTTTCCATAGAGCCTGCTGAGTCATAGCATTACAATGGTTTTAAAGAGTAAAACCTGGCAAAATTATTTTCTCCCTTTGGCTGAACTGAAATAGCACATCCAGGTTTAGCCCGTGTAGTCCTTCCTTCCTTCCTAGAAGCTGAAAGTTGCCCGTGCTGGTTTCTTCTTTGAGCTCTCTGCCATCTCTAAACCCCCAAAAGTTTCTATTTGCAGAACTAAGTCATACCAACCTTTTTTGCAGTCTCCCCCCTGAGTTATTTTCACTACCAGATCTTCAGCCCCACCTGGGATGTGATTCTTTGCTCTGTGAGTTGAAGTTAGCTAAAGATAAATAGTTACACATCGGCTGGGCGCCTGTGGCTCAAGTGGCTAAGGCGCCAGCCACATACACCTAAGGTGGCGGGTTCGAATCCCCAGCCGGGGCCCACCAAACAACAATGATGGCTGCAACCAAAAAATGGCCAGGCGTTGT